TGGTAAATTGATTTATGTTTTGTGGAACAAGAAATTAGGTTATTTATAATATGATGTTCAAATAGTATAATATTTATGTTAGTGTTATGACTGTGTTTGAGGGAAATTGTTTGTTTCCAATAGTTATCAAAACAGAGCTATTTGGATGTATTTCAGGTTGTTATAGTTATATATTTATAGTAGGGTCACTATTAATTATTTGATATGTCAAATTTTTTATATTTTTGTTGTTATAGTAAGTAACAGTTTTGTAACTGATGTCTAAATCTTCAATGGTTTATTTCTCTGTAGGTGTGAGACATAAATATTGAAATGTAATTTCATTAAAATCATTTGGTTCAGGAGCTGCAGGAACTTTTTTTTTTAGTAGGGGCTGTGTCATTATTTTTTTTGTTTCAAAATAGTTTGATTGCTTTGAATTTGTTTTTACATTATTGTTGGGTTGTTTGGGGTAATAGTGAAAGGCTCTTATTTCCTAAGTTATAGTACTGTATTTTTTATTGAAGTTAAGTAAGCTAGTCCTATCTTTAAGGAAATATGCTGTATAAGTAGTTAATGTGGTAATTGACTGTTCTAGCTGCGAATTTCTGGTTTTTGGTGCAATTTCTACATAGGTGTATATAGGCCAATTTGAAACATGTATCAATATAGTGTTCAGTTGTACAATGTGTTTGCTCATTGGCTCAGAAGGCTAATTGATAATTAGAAAACCATTGTGCAATTATGTTCACATATCTGAAAATAGTTTAGCTTGTTCCTGAAGCTACAAAAGTGAAGTTCCTTTGAGCAGATTGAGAAAGAAGTTCATAGATGTCTGTAGGTTGATTGAGCAGCAAAACATCTTTGGTGGAAAGTGGAAAATACGCAGTGGAATCGTATTTAAAGGTAGTATTGATTTCATTAACTACAAGGAACTAAGTGAGGTGCTAAAGGACAGTTTACTTGATGGGATGTGTGTTCTCAGTCTTGAGAAAGCAACCATCCTGGTTATCCAGCATGAAGACTATTTTGTAGTTTTTGATTCTACACCACGAAATAATCAGGGGCTTGTGTGTAAGGTGGGTACAGCTGTTTTGGTTTTCCACACATGTTTTTGTGATTTGGTGCTGCACATTCTGAAACTATGTGGTTCGATAAAAGCATCATCATTTTCTCTTTGGAGTATTTCTGTGCATTGCATGTTTTTCGACAAAGAGTCATTTGCAAGAATCACTGATACAGAACCTGGTACTTTTCTTGCTGTTGGTGATCGTGCTAGTTATGCTGATGTTGTAGTGGGTCGTAGCTGTGCTAATGATCTTCCTAGAGGACCACTTGCTGCTTTGTCATCTTCTCTTAAGAGTTGTTCAGCTGATCGTGATGATGGTGATGGAGCTGTTGCTGCTTCTTGTTCCGAGATGTCCATTTCTAAGAGTTCTCCAGTTGATCTTGATGATGGTGATAGAGCTGTTGCTGGTTCTATGGTCAGTAGGGGACATGTACGATGTCTTAGAGGAACATTCCATCAAGGTGATGATCGTTTCCAGTATGCTGGTGTTCAGTGTGTGGCAGTCAGTGCTGTTGCTTTAGTAATGCACAAACTGAAAAATGTTCTTTCTTGGCAAAGTGACACGTTGGATGATGTAGTTATTTTGGGTGATGAGCTTTACACACATTTGCGTAAAGAAAAAATGATAAGTGGTGGAAATAAGTTACTTGTTGCGACAGATTTGACTGTTCCTGTTGAAATTGGAGAGCATTGCTTTGAACTGAAACATGGGGACTTTGTTAGTGGGGATGTAGGTGCTGTACAACCTGAGGTAAAATCAGAATCTGTTGTTAGTCTTCGTGAAGGATTGGAGAAGATCAGCAGAAAGTATGAGACCTGTTTTATTACTGTGATAGACAGCACTTGTGCTCTCATCACTGATAAAGGACATTATGCTCTTGTAGATTCTCACTCGCGCAACAGCCAGGGAATGATGGATGAAAATGGAAAAAGTATCGTTCTGTACTTTAACTGCCTGGATGATGTTTATGCTCACATTATGAAGTTGGTCAGTAAACGCAAAATAGCTCATAAGTTATTTGAGATCAGTGGTATTGATATTGTTAAGGCTACTGAGCTTAAAATTGCATTGGAGTCATCTGATTCTGAAATGGTCTCGACTGATATTTGTGATGTGAGTTTGGTTGATGTATGTGATAACTCCCCTACAAATCAAACTAATAGGATGCAGCACAAAACATTGTCCAAAGTTGCATCATTTAAGAAAACGAAGGATATGGTCAGTAGGGGACATGTACGATCTCTTAGGGGTACATTCCATCAAGGTGATGAGCGTTTCCAGTATGCTGGTGTTCAGTGTGTGGCAGTCAGTGCTGTTGCTTTAGTAATGCACAAACTGAAAAATGTTTTTTCTTGGCAAACTGACACGTTGGATGATGTAGTTACTTTGGGTGATGAGCTGTACACACACTTGCGTAAAAAGAATATGATAAGTGGTAGAAATAAGTTACTTGTTGCGACAGATTTGACTGTTCCTGTTGAAATTGGAGAGCATTGCTTTGAACTGAAACATGGGGATTTTGTTAGTGGGGATGTAGGTGCTGTAGAGCCTGAGGTAAAATCAGAATCTGTTGTTAGTCTTCGTGAAGGATTGGAGAAGATCAGCAGAAAGTATGAGACCTGTTTTATTACTGTGATAGACAGCACTTGTGCTCTCATCACTGATAAAGGACATTTTGCTCTTGTAGATTCTCACTCGCGCAACAGCCAGGGAATGATGGATGAAAATGGAAAAAGTATTGTTCTGTATTTTAACTGCCTGGATGATGTTTATGCTCACATTATGAAGTTGGTCAGTAAACGCAAAATAGCTCATAAGTTATTTGAGATTAGTGGTATTGATATTGTTAAGGCTACTGAGCTTAAAAGTGCATTGGAGTCATCTGATTCTGAAATGGTCTCGACTGATATTTGTGATGTGAGTTTGGTTGATGTATGTGATGATAACTCCCCTACAAATCAAACTAATAGGAAGTGGCACAAAACTTTGTCCAAAGTTGCATCATTCAAGAAAATGAAGGATATTAATGATGTTGTGTTTGTAAGTTCTGGTTGTAAAAAGCCTCTGAACTTTAACCCACTTTCTAAAGTAGTTTCAGAAATGCTGTGCAAAAAGCTGGATATGGAATGTTTGAAACAGTCTAATCCAGTGTGCTTTGGATTTCGTGATTTGGGTAAGCCATGTTTAAAAGAAAAGATTGTTGGTGATGGAAATTGTTTTTTTAGGGCAATTTCTCAAGCTGTGAGTGGCACACAGAAATATCATAGAAAAGTAAGGCTTGCAGTTGTAAAGCAGTTGAAAAATAATTCTGAAATGTATAAGAGTATTTTAAGGAGTGAATATTCCTCCATGTCGGAATATATTATGCTGTCCAAAATGACATTTGTTGGCAATTGGGCAACAGAAGTTGAAATTCAAGCAGCAGCAGACTTATTGGGGCTCAGCATTTTTACATATTGCAATGGGAAGTGGTTTGAATATTCTTGTCAGAGCAAGTTGTTTGATCAAGGAATTTATTTGCACAATGTTGATGGCAACCATTATGAGACTGTTGTTTGTGTAAAATTAGTTAATGCTCAGTCATGTTATGGCTATTGTGAGACAGAAGACTGTCTTTCAGAGAGACGTACTCGACAAGGGTTTTTGAAACCAGAAGTTGGTGTCAGAGAAACAGAAAACTTTGCAAGAGGTGATTATATTATTATTAATGATAAAAATTGTCATGGGTTTTCTTTCTGTCCACTATACACTGATGCATGCCAGATGCTGTGTAGCAGGTTAAAAGTTGATTTTGTAACTTGTAGTACACAAACTCCCATATCTGGATCTTTAGGACCTGTTTGTAAAACCCAAATTATTAAACAGGATGGAAACAGTTTTTTTAGAGCTGTAGCACAAACAGTTAGTGGTTCACAGAAATGTCATAGGAAGATTAGACTTGCTGTTGTTTCTTACATGACACAAAATGCCAAACAATATCAAAACCTTTTGGGAGAATGCTATTCTTCTGTTTCAGAATATATTAGAAAAACACGGATGAACTATGTTGGTCATTGTGCTAGCGAAGTAGAATATATATCCATGGCCAATATGTTGGGAATACACATATATGTATTTGATAATAATAAGTGGATTCAATATAGTTCCAAAACCAGTCTTTTCAGTGAAGATGCAATATATCTAATGAAGTGTGGTGACTATTTTCAGCCTGTCATTTGTACCAAACAAGGGGAGAAAGATGAATGCTTCGGATTTTGTCAAGTTAATACTATATCTGGTCAATCCTATAAGTCTACGAGGGTCTCTAAAAAACAACATAATGTTAGGGAAATTGATGAAAACATTAAGGACAACTGCTACTTGTCCTATTATTTAAAAAAGAAACTGAATTATTTGCGCTCTTTCAACTTTTTATTACAAAATCATTCTAAGTGCAAGAAAAAAATACAGTATAACCAAAGTTTGTGGTATAGGGAACGAAAGAAAAACTTGTGTCAAATCAATTACAAATTGAACCTTTCTTACAGGGAAAAAGTCAAACGTAGGAGTATAACTACCTATAGAGACAACCCTGAACACAGGGAAAAACTGAAAGCAAGGAGTAGACCACTTTACAAGAACTGTCCTGAACATAGGGAAAAACTGAAAGCAAGGAGTGTATCACTATACAAGGAGTGTCCTGAACATAGGGAAAAACTGAAAGCAAGGAGTGTATCACTATACAAGGAGTGTCCTGAACATAGGGAAAAACTGAAAGCAAGGAGTGTATCACTATACAAGGAGTGTCCTGAACATAGGGAAAAACTGAAAGCAAGGAGTGTATCACTATACAAGGAGTGTCCTGAACATAGGGAAAAACTGAAAGCTAGGAGTGTATCACTATACAAGGAGTGTCCTGAACATAGGGAAAAACTGAAAGCAAGGAGTGTATCGCTATACAAGGAGTGTCCTGAACATAGGGAAAAACTGAAAGCAAGGAGTGTATCACTATACAAGGAGTGTGCTGAACATAGGGAAACATTGAAAGCAAGGAGTGTTATGACTTACAGACAGAGTGAAAATCATAGACTAAACGTAAAAGCCCATAATAAAACCAAATATCAAAATACTGAATATAAGACGCAGCTAATACAACATGTTCAGATGAAGAGGGATCAGATTAAAGTTGATTATCAAAATATAGATTTTGTTATAGCAAATTTTTTGGAAAAGGTTAAAGAAGGACCTGATTTTGTGTGTTGTGTTTGTTTCCGGTTGCTGTTTAAGCATCAGGTTCTGAATTGTAAAAGAGACACTTACAAGAAAACCAAACAAATGTCTATGATTGCAGAGCAATGTATAAAGGAAGATTATGTGCACATCTGTTCTAATACATGTAGAACACCTTGTGTCTTCCTACAAACATCTAAAAATAAACTATATATTTGTCACACCTGTCATAAAAAAATAAGTAAAGGTGAAGTGCCTCCAGAGAGTTCAATTAATAAGTTGACTCTTGATCCCATTCCACCTCAATTGGCATGTTTGAATACTTTAGAACAACACTTAATAGCTTTACATATACCGTTTATGAAGCTTTTGGCCTTGCCTAAAGGTGGACAAAATGGTTGCCATGGACCAATTACGTGTGTTCCAGCTAATATTTCTCAAACATGCAGTTTGTTACCACGAAGCAATATGGAAGGTTCTTTACTACCTGTTAAATTGAAACGTAAACTGACATTCAAAGGCCATTATGATTATCAGTTTGTTGATACCATGCATGTTCAAGAAGCTCTACATTATCTCAAACATAACAACCTGTATTATAAAGATGTACAGTTCAATGAAGCTTGGATAAATGAGTTTTCTCGTGAGGAAATTGAGCCTGTTAATGATGAAACTGTTTGCCAAAAAGAAGCTGTGATTGAAAAGGAAGATGGTGTGGAGGATGAGCTATTGCATGACAGACAACAACATTGTATGTTTCAAGACACTTGTCTTATGCCAGTAGATATTGGCCAGGAAGCATTGGATCAATACTTTGATAATGTATTAAATTTAGCCCCAGCTGAAGGTAATAATCCTGTCAAGCTGCTTTCAGATTGTTCAAATGAAGCAAAATGTTTTCCTGTGTTGTTTCCTTCAGGATCTAATACATACCATCAAAGCAGAAAATATCCTTTAACATTGTTTCGCTACTTTAATAATAAGCTTTTACATGTAGACGGGCGATTTGCTCATAATGTGGAGTACATCTTTTATGCACAGTATATGTTGGAAGTGGAAAAGGTAATATCAAGCGCATCAATAGCTTTACGAAAAGGAAAAAGGTTTACTTCTCAAAATTTGGCTGACCTGCTAAAGGATGAAGATTCCATAAAGAAGCTCTTGGAGTTTGATGACGGCTATCGTTTTCTGAAACCTATTCGGGGTACACCAGCTTTTTGGCAGTCTGCGCAACGTGACATCTTGGCTTGTGTGAGACAACTTGGGAAACCAACTTGGTTTACATCATTTTCATCAGCTGATATGAGATGGACTAATCTCCTGTACACCATTTTGAGACAGGAAGGACGAACACAGACTTTGGAGGAGTTACAATATGAAGATAAGTGTGAGCTGTTGCGTCGGAACCCTGTCACTGCTGCCAGAATGTTTGATTTCCGCTTTCATGTTTTCCTGAAAGAAGTTCTCATGTCTCGTGCAAATCCCATTGGTAAGATTGTGGATTACTATTATCGTGTTGAGTTTCAACAGCGTGGCAGTCCACATTGCCATTGTCTGTTTTGGGTAGAGGGAGCCCCTGTTTTGGATCGTGATACTGATGAAGAGGTAATTGCGTTTATAGACAAGTATGTCACATGTCAACTTCCACCAGAAGATGACTCGTTGTATGAGATTGTTTCATCTGTGCAGCAACATTCAAAACGGCATTCAAAAACTTGTAAAAAAAACAAAACTGTCTGTCGTTTTAATTTTCCACGACCTCCATCTAGCAGAACTTTTATTTGTCGTGGGGAGAAATATCAGGATACAGTAAAAAAATGTCAGTGTAACTTGGATGAAACAGACACAACATTAAAGTGTGTCTGTTCAGCAAAAAAGGCAGATGAGTTGATGGAAAGTGATATGGCAAACACTATACTAACAAAAGTGAAGAATGCTTTGTTAGATGAGAACAGTACATATAGTACAGTGGAAGACATGTTTGAAGGTTTGGGTATTAATCAAAGATTATTTGAAATGGCATACAAACGCTGTAGTCGAAAAACAGTTGTTGTACTGAAAAGGGGGATGAATGAAATCTGGATTAATCAGTATAGCAAGCCACTACTGAAAGCTTGGAATGCTAATATTGACATCCAATACGTTGTTGATGCTTATGCATGTTCTGTCTACATAATAACATACATGTCAAAGGGTGAAAAAGAAATGGGCCTTATGCTTGGAAATACCCAAAAAGAATCAAAGGAGGGCAATGTCAGTGCAAAGGAGGCTTTAAAGATTCTTGGTCGTGTTTATCTGCATAACAGGGATGTTTGTGCTCAGGAAGCGGTATATAGATTGACAAATATGCATTTAAAGGAATGTTCTAGAAAGGTTGTTTTCATCCCTACTGGTGAAAACATTGTTAAAATGAGTTTACCCCTTTCTGTTTTGAAACAGAGAGCATCCTCAGACAATCTTACTACAGATGACATGTGGATGACTGGTCTAAATGACCGTTACAAAAACAGACCCAATGACCCTACTTGGAATGACATGTGCCTGGCCACCTTTGCTTCAGAATATCGTGTTCTCAGTAAAAATGAAAAGAGTAAAAATGCTGTCAAACTGAGTAATGGATTAGGTTTTGTGAGTAAAAGAACTCGAACACAACCTGCTGTTGTTCGTTATGCACGATTCTCTGAAACTAAAAACTCAGAGAAATTTCATCAAACTGTTTTGCAGTTGTTTTTGCCATATCGCCACGATTGTGACCTTAAACCAACAAACTGGGAAACTTTTGAGGACTTTTATAAAACTGGAATAGTTCGATTGGCTGATGGGAAAAGACATTCAGTAAAGTCTGTTGTCGATCTAAATAGAAGCCACTTTGAGATGGAATCAGAAAGCTTAGATATTGCAGAAAATGTGGTTGGTGATGACCTGCTGGAAGATGCATGGAGTGAGTTGTGTCCTGAGCTTGAAGTGGAACGCTTGGAGTGTGCAGAGGAGCACAAAAAAATGCGAGAAAGTCTTGATGATGAAGAAGAACATATTCCTGATTTGAGTTCCAAAGATGTTGCAACATTAGAGAAGAAAAACACATTGAGTAGAATTGAAGGTCTGACATTGATAAGGTCTCTGAATGAAAGACAGTTCTCCATCTTTTATGAAATCAGACAGTGGTGTCTGGACAAGGTCAATGGAAAAAACCCCAAATCAATGCATATGTTCATTACAGGTGGCGCTGGTACTGGGAAAAGTCATTTAATAAAAGCTATACAGTATGAATCAAACAGAATCTTATCACCACTGTCTAGAAATCCTGATAATATTTGTGTTCTACTGACTGCTCCCACTGGTATAGCTGCTTATAACTTGGAAGCAGCCACAATTCACTCCACATTTTCTATTGGAATGGATCTACGATTACCCTACATTCCATTGGGTGAGGAGAAACTAAATTCATTCCGTGCCAAATATTGCGATCTACAGCTTCTAATTATAGATGAAATATCAATGGTTGATCACAATCTTTTGTCATATATTCATGGTAGACTGCGACAAATTAAACAAACTGGAGATTTCTCACCATTTGGAAACCTTAGTATTATTGCTGTTGGAGATTTTTTTCAATTACCTCCTGTGAAAGGTACACCACTGTATTCTGATGGTGTTAGTAGCTCTTTATGGTCAGATTTGTTCAAGGTTGTTGAGCTAAAAGAGATTGTTAGGCAAAAAGACATTGTGTTTTCCCAGCTGTTAAACAGATTGAGGACTCGCTCCAAAAAGTCACCTATGTTACCTGGCGATATTGAGATTCTAAAACGCTGTGAAACAGGAGAAGAAAGCTCAGCCTTACATATCTTTGCAACAAATCAACAGGTAAATGAGCATAATACTAATCAGCTATTTAAGTGTTGCCCTGAATATGTAAGAATTGGAGCACAAGATTATGTCAATGATAAAAAAAGTGGCAAACTGAAGTTGTTGGAGGGAAGTCATGCCAAAGCTCCCTATACATCTTTATCTGAAGTATTGTTGTTGGGTAAAGGAGCACGTGTTATGTTGTGTAAAAATATTGATGTTAGTGATGGTCTGGTTAATGGTGTTTGTGGTACTGTAACCGAGATAATTCCAGCAGAAACCAAAGACTTTCCTAAAAAAGTCTATGTACAATTTGATGACCATCGTGTTGGTGTTATGAGGAGGAAGAGCTTGCGGTGTTTGTCACAAGATCTGGTTGATTCAACACCTATTGAACCAGAGGAAGACAGGGCAACAAGTAAAGGTGGAATGCGACGGCAGTTTCCTCTGAAATTGGCATGGGCTGTCACTGTACATAAAGTGCAAGGTGTAACCGTTGACAAAGCTGTTGTGTGTCTCGATAAAATATTTGCAGCTGGTCAGGCTTATGTAGCTTTAAGTCGTGTAAAAACCATTTCTGGATTGATCATTCAGGACTTCAAAGAGAAAAAGATTTACTGTAAAGATGATGTTCAACTTGCTGTTGAAAATATGACACCTGTTTTAAGTGGATCTACACAGTTTGAGACATTTAAAAAATCTTGTTGTACTGTGTTTCTGATGAATGTGCAAAGTCTGAATCGGCATGTGGAAGATTTAGCATTTTGTACAAAACATTTAAAACCTACTTGCATTGCAGTAACAGAAACATGGCTGTCTGTTTCCACAACAGATACAGTAATTATTGATGGTTATACTTTTAATAGCTGTCCAAGAGGTGTAGCATATTCTGGCAGAGAAAAGGCATTGTTGGCATTTAAAGACCAGCAACGTGGTGGTGTTGGCATCTATACTGCAAAAGGTTTGTCACATGAAATCTTGAAACCACCAAGTGTTGATCTGGAATGTGGAGTGATAAGATTGTATGATTTCAATATCATACTGGTGGTTATATATCGTCCACCACTGTATCCTCATTCCATATTTAAAGCAAATCTGGGAAAGTTGCTTGAATGGCTTGAGCCACTAAGTGACACAATAGCACTGATGGGAGATTTCAATGATGATATTTTAAAGACCTCAACCATCTGCAACTTTATGACCGACAGGGGTTTTGTACAGAAAGTCATAGGACCAACTACAGAGAGGGGAACTCTGATTGATCATGTATACTTAAAATCAACAGCATACGAAATGGATGCATTGACTATCGCAACATATTTTAGTGATCATGAGGGCATAATGTGTGGTTTTAATACTTTTAAATGAAAATGCAACTTTAGTTGCAAATCTCCATGTGAAAACTTTTCTAAAACTTCTCATGTTGTTACAGCAAACAAACTAAGTACAAATGAACATATTTTTAGTGGTAAAAAAACTTCATCACTGGCATTAAAAGGTTTTTTTTTCTTGCATTAAGAACAGTAATTACTGAAATATGTAGTTACTCATATTCAGAGATAAATAAAAACAATTATGGGTTAGGACATACTTTGTTCTCTTTGATGAACATACAATTTATACATTTTTCATACTGTTCTTAATGCAAGTTTTTGCTTCACCTTGTCATGTAACACAAAAAGCAAAAGACATTGGCAGTGGTGCTCCCTTGTGGGATAGGGTTCGACTCCCTGCTATGTCCTGCACTTGTGTGACAAGAGTAGCAAAATTTTCTGAGTACATAATTTAATAAAGATCCTTCATAGTTAAATTTGAGGAGTTTTCATAGTGATTTCTACTTTCAATTACATACTGTCATGAACTTCTAAAAATGGAGAAAGGAATACAGAATCATTACAATAAAAAAAATTGTCTTCAACTTTATAAGTAACCTTCATTTATTTTGTCAATGAAAACCTGCTGCAACAAAAACAACATAAATGATCAAATCCAGTTAATATTTATTTGGATTCCACTTTTGTTAAAACAAACTTTTGGTATACATTAAACACTGATTACCCCTGATGTGGACTAGGAAAGAAAATTGTACTTTAATCAATTGTTATATTTAGATTACTACCTGTTTTTGTGCTCCTTATATTTTCCTCTTAATGAACATGTTTAAATAAAGAATTTGAATTATATTTGCATTGTTTATTTGCCAATAAAATTGTCTTGCAGATCAAAAAATATTTTTCTGGGAACTTGTCCAAGAGAGATTTTTAATTTGAGTCATCTGTTCACAATTTATTGAACAAATTATAATAGCCACAATAATTTTCATTTAACAGATATAGACTGTTGCTAAAATGTGCTATTTGGATTACCACCTGCTTTATGATGTTTACTGTTCCTTGTATTTTTCTCTTAATGAACATATTGTTTATTGAAATAAATAAAAAAATGTTGACGTTTATTTGCCAATAAACTTGTATTACCTATCAATAAATATGGAAACTTGTCCAAGAGATATTTTTCATTTGAGTCATCTGTTCACAATTTATTGAACAAATTATAAAAGCCACAATAATTTTCATTTAACAGATATAGACTGTTGCTAAAATGTGCTATTTGGAATACCCCCTGCTTTATGATGTTTACTGTTCCTTGTATTTTTCTCTTAATGAAAATATTGTTTATTGAAATAAAAAAAACTTTGAAGTTTATTTGCCAATAAACTTGTCTTACCTATCAATAAAAATGGAAACTTGTCCGAGAGAGATTTTAAATTTGAGTCATCTGTTCACAATTCATAGATCAAATTATAAAAACCACAATAGTTTTCATTTAACAAATTTGGTCTGTTGCTAAAACATGCTTTCATTTAAGATTATTTTCTCTGAAATAGCCAATGATATTTGTTACATAAAGCTACAAATTTAAGCTAAAGTGATGAAGTAATTATGCATTTATTAAAACCTGATTGGCATTGGAATCACATTTTGACAAATGTATTTTAGCAATTATGTTTTATATATTTATTGTCCAAAAAAATGCAATATAATTTATTCTTATAGTTTCAATTAACAACACATCACCTTGAGAAACTTTACAATTCAACAGATCATACAGTCAAATTTATTCAAAGTTCTCCATACAAAGCCAATTGATTGCATCAACTTATGTACTTGAAGGGAATCCCCCACACCAAGCATGCTTTTAGCAACAGTGAAGAAGAAGAAACCTCCAGCAGAACCGCAATCAGGCTCAGTGTGAGTGACTATCTGCAGAGGCCGAATGGGAATGAAGTAGACCGAAGCAGACAAAAGAAGAAGCAGAGATACAAAAGGTAACTCTCAACAGATCACAATAACCCATCCAGGAAACACACAGCCAGGCAGACAATGTCTGAGCCAGCTTTCATTTCAGAGAATGAAAAACAACAAATCCAATTAGTCACAGTCAGAGAAACAGGACTAGACTGAAAAACAGGCCAAGCTCCAACATCTAGAAACAAAGGTATTGATGGTTGCACCACAGCTTATATTTCTCTCCAGGATGGAGTTACAACCAAACAGGTACAGACCAGATGAAGCTACTGAGAAAAAATATGAGAGCAGAATGTTAGAGATTGAAGTACAAAATTCTGCAGATTGTTAGACTAAAGATAGAATAAACAGAATATTGAAAAGGGATCCCTATGTCTTCCAACAGTGTAAGCCTATAGCAACATACTAGATAGCTGTGGATAACCTGAGCCACTGTAACTATAAGCTTTATCAAAAATGGAAGCTTTAAGCCTACCCTTAAATGTAGACAGGGTGTCTGCCTCACAAATTAAAAATGGTAGTTGGTTCCACAAGAGAATAGCCTGCGAAAAATAAAAGATCTATCTCCCATTCTTTTTTTAGAAATTGCAGAAACCTACAAATTGAAAGCAAAGTGTTTTGTTAGGAATATAGGGAACAATCAGATCTATGATATAAAATTTTGCTTGGTTATTTAATGCTTTATATGTGAAAAGAAAGATTTTAAATTGTTTATATGTGAGAAGGACGATTAAAATGTTTTAAGTTGCTGTATCCAAAACTACTGACTTGCAATTCAATAATATTTAATCAATAATAAATTAAAATAATGAGAAAGTAACTAATTTGTATCAATGTAACAGCACGAAAATAAAAGAATCATTTCAACAAATATTTTTAAGCTTACTAATGAAAATAACAAAACAAATGTAATAAAAGCTGATAATTACACAGGCCAACCCTAACAAATTCAAGCCCTGCTATAACTCATAGATTGAAGAACTGTGCAAATTTAATGGCAACTCAGATGTTGGAACTAATGTGTAATATCAAATAAATATGCATATTCTCCTATTAGATTTGACTGCTCTTCTTGATACTCTCAATAACGACATTCTTTTACTAATGCATGATATTCTGTAGATATCTACAAAAAATTAGCCGGATTTAAATTTAATTAGCATGACAAATTGAAAACTTTGAAATGAACTAATTATTCAGTTAAATAATATGAATGTTGTTAGTCTAATCGCTAATAACAATATAAAAAAATGTAACTTTGCAGCAACACTTGAACACAACTTCTAATTGAAATACAAAGAAAAACAGCTTCCACAACATTCTTCTTTCATTAGTAGGAATATCAAACAACAACATTGAAGCCTCACTTTATGAAAAAATATGCTATAATCTATGCTATATTTCCAGAACTATACCTGTAAAATTATGAAGTTGTAGAGAAAAGTATAATATTTTCAGAGTTATTTAAATATATATTCAAAAGAGGGACAAATAGCACTCCCAAAATCCACTGTTAGTGATATTACACCCTACTCAAAACTATAAAAAATATCATAAAAAATTCATAGTTTTCAGTAAAATCCCGAAAAAAATCACACATGTCGAGAAATACATCCTGCATATAGTAGTATTTTTGTAGATTATTTACTAATTAATTGAAGGAAAGAAAAAACTTTAAAGTTGAATGCCATATACTGAGGCAGTTGAATACTCCATAAGATGCTCAAATATGCATAGATTCACGCCATACTTGGCAATACTTACTATCATAAAAGGATAGATAACTGTGTCAAATTTGGCTTGAATTGCTATAAAACTTTTTGAAAAACAACAATTTCCTGTTAGCACAAACTTTGGAAAAATCAGAGTGACGAACTTTTAAGAAGAGCTATGCTGTGTTTACCATCAAACAAGTAGCAATTAGAGGAATATATTCCAACAGTCCTAGATTTTTTGAGAAAACGACTGATTTTTTAGAAATATTTTAACATAGTGATTCTATTTTCATAAGAGTGCCGTTTGATTCAAAATGGCCGACTTCATGAGAGGTTTAGACCATGGCTTCAATGAAACTTTTTGTAGGAGGAGGGCTCATACAGATGTGTGCCAAGTTTCATTATCCTAGGAACGAGCATGGCTAGGGGCTGAATTATTTCCTGGCATTATCTGTCCAATTGGCCAACTATTAGGCGAGAACGCAAACTTTTGAAAAATCAGAGTGACAGACTTTAAGGAAGCGCTTTGCTATTGTAACCAACTTACAGCAGGCTTTATAAAGAAACATATTTTGAAAGTTTAGCTCATTTGGATAAAATACTGATTTTAACAA